TTTATATTGTTTTAATTTCAATCTATAAATGTCGATATTTAGATAATGCTATGTAAGAGCTTTTCCACATTCATTGTTACCGCTCAATGGACTGCTACCTCGATTGTGCATTAAACAAAGATTGTATCTTATCAGTATTATTATTACATTAAGAAATATGACGGGAGAAAATTGTTCTAACGTTTTTAGACATTGATGCTTTGTAATACGTAAATTAATATAAGAATATTAAAACTTCCAATAAAATCTATCTATAAACATATATTGGAAACATTGTTTTGTAGCTATGTATTAATTCCTTTTTATTTTTTATTTTTTCCTACGTACGACGTATGATAATTACAATTAGTTGTTCATATTAACATTGTTAATAGATATTTAATTTAAAATCGAATATTTAATTTATTGCAAATGATTATCGGATTTTTTAAAAAATAAATTTCAAATTAGAAAAGGATTACCTATCGATAACATTTCCGAGAATAATCGTAGTTCGATTAACGACTAACAGATGGCGGCGCCAGGTACTTTTCGAGAACGCGCGCGCAATCGCCATTTTAAATATATTTATATTTTGCGGGAAATTTGATAGATATATTAAAAAAAAAAAAAAAAAAAAAAAAAAAAAGCGCGCTCTCTACGCATATATTTATTTATTTTCTACGATTTAATTATTACCCTTTACGTATATAAAACTAAAGTAAATTTGTATTGGGCGTACTTTGAAACAGTAGATTACATTTCTTTACCGTTTCAAATCGTTTATCGTACTGTCATATGCCACGTGATGAATCGCTTTCCGCATTCTCTTGAAATTAATGTTCCATTCGGATGTTTTTTACCTCTTTCTCTTCTTCCTTAGCCCTTGACTTTTTGTAGTTGTTGTTGAAGTAGCCGAGTCTACTCTGAGAGGAGACGGAGCATATATTTTAACACTAAATTACTCGGTCGTCTCGGGTTGACACGAGCTGTATAAACGGAACCAAATAAACTAGAAGCAGGCCGGCGGCGAAGAGGAAGCAAGCCAGTCACTGATGACCGTTCTTCATTTAGCAATTCGCTACGCATTCTGAAGCCTCCGGGGGTGGCCAGCCATCGCTTTTCTTTGCTAATATTCTTACTGACTCTTCACGGATAAGTCCCAACGTCCATTACGTTCATCCACGATCATCCACGATCGTCCACCTTTTCACCGAGACGTTCACCAAGACGTTACTTTTCTTCTTTTTATTATATATATATATATATATGTATATATATATATGTATGTATTCTATAACCAACGTAAACGTTTTTGATCGTTCAAAAAAGCAATACTAATCGCGAGAAGATCGAGAGAAAGATAGTAGGCGCTATAATAGATATTATATTTGATATGGACAATTATCTATGCCAGTACTTTTCTAATTTTTATTGGCCGAGATTCCCATTTTAAAACGATCATTTTTCATCATCTACTATTAATTAACGCGTAACCCTGCTCCTCTAATATTTTATTAATTACTGCAATTAACACACACACACACTTTGTTAATCTCTACGTCTATATATATGGTATGGTGTTTTTACCATAGCAATATCAAGTTTAAGAGCTACTCGATTACAATCAAAATATATAGATGGCGTTTGTACGCGTACGTCCTCCAATAACACGCTAATATATTTCGAATAGATTCAAAATACCCTCCCGCCCACACCCCCAAAAATATATTTATTTTCATTTATTAATATCGAAAAAGAATAAATAATCGTAATAAACAGATGCAATTAAGTTTTATTACTAGTATAGAATCAATTTAAGTATAAAGATATATATATATATATATATAGTAATAGAAGATAGTTTATATTCTCGTAAAACTTTATATAGAAGGTAAGTAATTTGGAAGGGGATGAATAAGAATAATAATAAGAAGAATAAGAATAAGAACTAGGGCAAAAGAGGAGGAAACGTTGTGAGACGAGGTGGAAGGTTGAAGAAATATGAGAACTAAACGTATAACATGCGGTTAGAGGTTGTCAAGAGAATTTTTTGTGTTCCGCGTTGAGAGAATCGTGCGTGTGGTATATACATCATCGAGGGATCACCGGTCTGCAGGTGCACTTCTCTCTCTCTCTTTCTTTCTTTATATCTACCGGGTGTGCGCGTGTAAATGCATCGGAGAAAAGACGATGACGGTACGAATGCGATGGTTAGGCGTGCACTCGGCACGTCATGCACGCGGAGTAGTCTCGTTACTCAGAGAAAGGAAGAAGAAGAAGAAGAAGAAGAAGAAGAGGCAAGAGGTAAGAGGTAGGGAAGGGGGAGGAGGATGAGGAGGAAGAGGAGGAGGTAAGGTAAGGCAAGAGGCAAGCCAGGTAGGTTGGTAGTCCTAGAGAGTAGTACGTTCGCGAGGAAGTTGTCATAATACCAGTAATCAACGTTGTAATGTTGATACTGCGCGTCTCCACGGCGATCCGAATGCGTGTTCTCCTTTCTGCGCATACCTTCCTTTTTTTTTTTTTTATTTTTTTATTATTTTTCTCCTTTTTTCCTCCTCCTCCTCCTCCTCCTCCTCCACAACTTACCTTACCCCCCCCCCTTCCACCCCCTCCTTTTTCTTCTTTCTTTTCTTTACGCTCCATGATCAGAGAAGAATTTCAATTATTGAGAAGTTAAACGTACCGTAAATAAAAAAAAAAGAAAGAAAGAAAGAAATAAAGAAAGAGAAAGAAAAGTCATTTAAATAGCAATTTAACAAGTAATTTCATGTAATTAATAAGAAATTATTTCGATATATATCTCGGTAATCTTCTCTTACGAGTAGTATCTGATATCACATGTAAATCAAATCTATTATCATCATACGATTTTATTTATATAGGAGATTTTGTAGAAAAAAAAACAAATTAATTAATTAATTATCATTCATATATATATATATATATATTTATATGGACACGAAATATAAAGAAAAAAAAGCAAAGATAGAATGCCGAGGGAAAAAATAAAAAAAAAAGAGAGAGAGAAGACGAAAGAATAAAATATAAATGCAATATAAATAATAATAATAATAATAATAATAATAAAAGACGAGAGCGTAAAATAAATGAATGATATAAATCACAAATTGACGTGGAAACGAAAAGAATAAACAATACGCGTGTTGTGTTGTACTACGTTCGAAGATGAAGTCTGATTCGAAAAAGGGTAAAGTCGGATGAGTTATCGGACGGGATAAAAGAGAACGTAGATGAGAAAAAGAAAGAGAGAGAAAGAGAGAGAGAGAGAGGGGGAGAAAGATAGTGTGTCCGAAACGCATTAGTTACACGTACATACATAATATACAGTATAGTAGGTACATCTGCCCGAAGGTAATAATAACGAGGGAAGGAAGGTGCAACACAGTCAAGTCAGTCAGTCAGTCAGTCAGACTGACTTTCTCATAGAAATCCTCGTAAGCTTCTCTTGAATACGTAGAAACTGTATTAGGTATAATTCAGAGTAGAGGGAGGGGCGAGCATGGCTAATGCGCGATCTGGTACAGCAATTAAGCTTCCGTGTTTTCTGCCAAGTAATAAGTGAGCGAGCTGCTGTTTCTAGAAGCGAACGCCCTATTCCCCCTTCCTTACCCCTCATTCCACCCCCTGTATCCTCCCTCTCTATGTACTCTTCTCTCTATGATTTTTACCAAGAGTTAGAAGAAAAAAAGAAAAAAAAAAAGAAAAATGTAACAAATCTATATACGAGAAAGATGCAATGTGAATTTTATAACAAAGAAATTATGGTTTTTTAACTTGATTTTACTTATTATATTTTTATATTATTTTATTGATATAATCATATATGATATTATATGGAAATATATAATATATATTGTGTTGCGAAATGATTGTTTGAATTAACGATTGATATAAAGGGAATTTATATAAATATTGTATAGAGTAACAAGAGTAAAGATTACTACGGTAAAAATATCTGGAACGGAAATACGGCAATTGCAATATTATACTCGATTTTTCTCTTTTCCTTCTTTTTTTTTTTTATCGTTCTTGGTGCTTTCCGCTTCCTTTGACTGTTTAATTATGATGCATTGTACACGAATCCTATAATCCTAAGAGATTCCTCCTATATACGTCTATCCTGATTGGTAGAATAAAAAAGATAATTGAAAATTGATCAGTAGTTTTTACATTTAATATTCTTGAATGAAAATCAATATAATAAATGTAATAAGTAAATTTTTTTTACGAGAATCGTTTATATATATTATATATTGAAATATCTACAAATAAAAAAAAACGGGAGAGAGACAGAGAGAGAGAGAGAGAGAGAGAGTAGTTCCATTATATTATATTTACAATATTTTTCATTCACATTTTCGGTATTCGTGCACGGTGGATCTCTCTTTTGTAAGTTTGCGATGTTGGTAACGACAATGGGATTATTATTCGCGGCCACTTCCTGAATCCACAGAAACACTCCGCGGCCTGTAAATTATATTTTCCCCCCGGCCCCCCACGGGCCCAACCCGTCCACCCGCCTTTTTCTTCAATTCGCACAAAGTAAAACACGATTCACGATAGTCTACAGTAACAATAACAAAAACAACAACAATAACGGAACACACACAGGGTAAGAATCATCTCTTTTGTCGATGTTCATATAGAATTGATGACCATTGACATGCAAACGCCCAATTATTATTTCCTCTTTTACAAAGAACCTCGCGATGTTCTTTGTGTAAATAAAGTATAGCGCGCGAGTAGTATGCGTTTCTCTTATTCGAGAATGC